TTAGTTGAGATAAATAACAGAAAACTCTACCAAATCGTTTCCTAAGCTCCCTCAACTAATAGAACACTACCCTAACATGCCAGAAAGTACATATTAATAGCGAGGCCGTAATATTGCAATTGCATGTACATTATTTTCTTAACAGATAAGTTCCAAGCTAAACAATTTCAAGAGGTCCAAAAAACAAGTAAAAAAGCCTAATCGAAACAGAGAAAGGAATAACAAATCTCAAAGGATGCTAATCTAACTATTTAAACAAGAACCACATAGAAAGAGGTTCTTGAAAGACTTATGATGTCTGCGAGCAAGAATGATGTCTTTGATGCACTGTCTATTTGCTTGAAGACTTCCAAATCAGAGATAGCGGAGCCATTGTGAAACTGATTGTTTCTTTCTTTCCAAAGAAAGAAGATCGTTGTTTAGATCATTAGCCGTTGCAAAGTAGCTTTCTTCCTTGAAGAAGTGAAGGAGAGCCAATAGATTAAACTAGTCCAGTCTGCGAAAATGAAAGCAGATTGACCGAACCATCTGAGAACATAAGCCCAAACCTGAAAACTGAAATAACAATGCAAGAAGAGGTGGTCTCTAGTTTCCGCTTGCTAGTTACAAATACAACATGAAATTGGAGTGATAATACAGTGCATGCCCTTGACAATCAACCGTAGAACGGTCGGAAAAGTGATAGTACGGTATACGTGACGGTCTAAAGTATAGTAAAAATACATGCATACATATTTATAAATATAAATTTGTTAGAGCATCTCCAATGTATTTTCCTATAATTATCTCTATAATAATAGAGTAAAAACAACATTTTTCTATTTTCTCTCTAATGTATGACTTTATTTTAGAGAAATGCTAGTTTTTCTTGTCTTTTAGGACATGATAAAAAAAATCTCTATTTCTATTTCCAAATATAGAAAAAAATAGCAATTTCTATTATAGAGATGAAAATAGAGATGAATTAGAGTAAATTTGATTCTAAATTCTATTTTAGAGATGAAAATAGAGATAGATTAGAGATCGACTTACCATATATGGTGCATACCGATTTGTCTACACTTCGAAATAGTGAGTGTAAATGTTTTCTATTAATTTTTGGTAAAATATAACACGAAATTCTAGAAATATGAATATTCTAGATCCTTCTACGTGTATTTTACACTATTTGCCTTCTCCCCTATCATAATTATTTTCCTAACTTTTATTATTAAAAAAATTAAAGGAGAAAAAAAAAGTTGGGAAAGAGAGGGAGAAGCTCGAGAAGAGTGTGGGAGAAGGCAAACCCAAAACACTGACTAGACACAGACCGTTGGGCCCGACTCTTCATGCATGCACTCTTCTGACATTTTCTCTATTACTCCCTCCGTCTCCGAGATATTTAAACATTATTTCTTAATTACTCTCTTTATCTCAAAATTTATTGTATATGATCATTTATATTCTGTCGTCAATTTTTTTATTGGTTGATAAATTTTTACTTAGATATTAGATGATACTTTTAAAACTAGAAAAACAAAACAAAAAAATTTATATCGTTTTTAAATTTTACACTTTTTGCTCAAAAATCTTATATTATGAGACAAAAAGAGTATATATCTATTATTATTTAAGTTTTATGAATACTGGTGTTATTATAATTTATCAGGAGTACTAAAATATAGTACTAAAATACTATGCATTTGCCTTAAATAATGCTGCTTAAATGTTTTGTTCGAATGCAATTTCAAACTCCAATATTCAAAAGTTTAATAAAAGATGGAGTGGTTAGGTCGCTGTTACTTTTAAGTGTCAGTCTCACTCACTCGCTCAACATTGTTTCAAATTCCAGAGCAAAAGTCTCTAAACCCAAAGCCTCCACTCAATTACCTAGCTACTTCAAAAGTCGAGCTTCTTCTTTTAAAGTTATCAAAAACCTTTCTCTCTTCCAAACCACATCTTAAATTACTTTTACTTATTTGCTCTTCTTCTTTCTTCATTAGCCATGACTAAAGATGAAGAAGACTTTAAGCTCCTAAAGATCCAGGTACTTTTTTATCAAAGACTTTCCCTACTTTTTGTTTTCTTGCATTAGTCTCTCCATTATGATAATTACTGTTTCTGCTTATCGAAAAACACAGACATTTTCCCTCAGAGTCAATATCCATTGTGAAGGTTGTAACCAGAAAGTCAAGAAACTTCTTCAGAGAATCGAAGGTTTCTCTCCTCCTCTCTTTCTCTCAACCTCGAATTCACACATGCATTGGATTCTTGATGTGTACATTGTCTGGTTCTTGACCAAAACAGGTGTTTGCCACGTGAAGATAGAAGCAGAGCATCAAAAGGTGACCGTTTCAGGATCAGTAGATTCAGCCACACTCATCAACAAGCTCGTTAAAGCCGGCAAACACGCCGAGCTCTGGTCCACCAACCATCAGCCACACAAGCCCAAGGTTAATGACGTCGACAAGAACCCTAGTCTAAAGGGTCAGAAGCAAGGATCTACCAAAACTGGTCTCGAGACTTTGAAGCCCAAGAACAATCTTAAAGGTCCGACCTTTGTCACCGAAGAAAAAGAAAACGGCGAGGAACAAGAAGACGGAGATGTCCAGCCTCCTAAACCGGCGAATCAGCAGCAACAAACCAAGAAAACCGGTGGAGGTGTCCCAATAAACAACGAAGTCAACGCATCAAAGAAAGTCAACCAAAAACAGAGCAACCAAAACCAGAACATAACGGCTACGAGTATGAGAAACGCCGTAAAAATGGGTTCTGGCGTTGATAGCACTGAGATCGGAGCTCTCATGGGACTCGCAGGATTTAACGGCGCAGCAACAAACGCCGTGAGTGTGATTCAACAACAACTTCAAGCCCCTCCACCGTTAAACAACATTAACGGAGTCACTAATCACAACGTAAACAATGGTAATGGAGGCATGATGATGAACATGAATGGATACAACAATCATCATACAATGAACATGCAGAATATGCAATTGATGCATCATCATCATCAGCCTCAACAAATGATGTACCAAAGATCAACTTTCGTTCCAACAACAAGCAATGGGTATTATTACAATTATACCCCTAGTCCCTACGGTTATTATCCTTATTACCCTTACCTTTCTTCCACCATTGAGGAGCAGCAACAACCAAGTGGTCATTTATCTGCAACAAACATGTCTAGTGATGAAGACACTAGTAATAATAACAGCTGCAATATCATGTAAGTGTGGTTACTTGAAGAAGAAGGTATCTTTATGTTTTTTTGGAAACAAGATAAAATGTTTAGTCTTTTATTTTGTTAATTGCTAATGTGATATATTTCATAGTGTGTATTTAATCGGTTTGTTTGTGTGTGTCATGTCATGTAGCCATTTTGAACTTATGTGAAATGTGTTTGGTATATATGAAGTTGATATTCTCTAATAGACAATATGAGTTTAATTCATGCATTTATCGCTTTGATAGTTACCAAACTCAAAAACGGGAAGATTACCATTGATCTATATTTTACCGCTTTTTAATTGTTTCCGTCGTCTCTTTTGCTAAACGAATTGTTTAGATTATCGTTTTGTGTCACCCAACACGTATTTGAGATGTTTTGCGTTAGTTTCTTGGTTTTTTTGTTATGATTTGTACTAGTGTAATGACATTCATGAAATGCGGTTGGTGCGTTGCCACGATTTGTAGAGGAGCGTTTAGAGCGGTTGGGTTTTGTCAGAATGTGGTTTGTGTGTATCTCTCGGAAAAAAATTCTCTCAATTTACTCAAAAGTTATTCCACCTGCTTGCTGCTTCTCGGTAGGTGTCTCGTTATACGGGTCACTTATTTAATGGGACATGACTCCAATTTTAAATTCGACTAGTATTACATCAATCAATTCTCTGTTTCAAAATTTGAGTTTTACAAGTAAAGACGAGGAAAATTGGTATTTAACATTTTAACTACAGTGTTTTATTCTTTTGGAAATCGAAAATCGAAAATCGGAAATAATTGGATCTGATTCAAACCATGTTTTTCATCTTTTTTTGTTGGGCCGCAAGAATTTTCAATGTAATGTACTTACCCAACCAACCGGTTTTTACAAAACCTCTGGGAAAAATGTCATTTAGAATTATCCGGTTTAAGCCAAAACAAATACCAACTTGTTAATGAGTCATAAAAATCATAAATTTGTGTTGACTGAACCAAATTATGTATACAATTAGTCAACTTTAATAGTTTTTTAAAAAACGTTAACTCCGTTTATTGCAACCGTTAAGTCTCAAAACAACGTCGTTTTGAGATTATGAAAAAATGACCATTTAAATATGAAACTCTCCGTTTTGCGCCAAAACAAATACCAACTTTTTAATGAATCATAAAATACACAAACTTATGTTGACTTGGCCAAATTAGGTATAATATTAGTCAACAGTAGATCGGAACCCGGATCTGGAAACATGGAAAGACGAGACCCTCCAGGTTTTAGCATGAGTCCAACAACATGTTAGGGAACGAGATCCCTGAAGGCTGTAACCTGAGTCTTAAACTCTAGGAGGGCAAGAGATTGCGATAACCTAAGTCTGGAGACTTGACGAGTTAGTATGAGAACTCTCATGGAGACCTATGACCTGAGTGAACCGACTTGTCCCCTCTGAGACTACTGAGAAGTTCTCATCATTTTGTGGAGCAGAGCCGGAGGCGAACCTGGTCCTTCGGGCTGAGCTGCATTAGAGCGATACCCGAGTATGACCTTTCGGGAGACTAGGCCACTAATCCTGACAATTGTGATTCTCCTTTCTTTCTTATAAAAAATCTTGCTATCTCTTTTTTTTATTATAAAAAACACATGATAAATTATGCAATTGTTAGTCGCATCCGAGATTAAGTCTAACATCTCGTGAGTACTTTCAGGTAAAGTGAAAGGAAACTAACAACCCCAAAAAGAGTGATTATGTTACTCACGCTACAATCTTGGAGAGTCTCGTCTTTCTATGTCTCTGGATTTGGACTCCGATCTATAGTTGATTTATATTATACCTAATTTAGCAAAATCAACATAAATTTGTATATTTTATGACTCATTAAGAAGTTGGTATTTGTTTTGGCGCCAAACGGAGAATTTGATATTTAAATGACCA